TATATATATATATATATATATATATATATATATATATATATATATATATATATATATATATATTTTATAGGATATCCTATAATATACTAGATGAAGCGACTTGCTGGTGTGCAGATAAAATTTGTTCAACTGAACACAAAAGTCCTCTATACAGTTATATAAATAAGCACGTAAAATTTTGAATGATTAATTATAAAAATTTATGTATGATCATGTATAGTAAAATACAGTGGTAATAATATTCTGTTATATGCTTATATATTAAACTTGTAATTAAGTCAAACTAAACAAAAAATTGCTTTATCATTTTGTAACTAACTATACAGATTTTGAAGTTACTAATTAAAAAAGATTGATGAATAATTGTGCGTAATCATTTGCTAATTTTCTTTAATTGGTAATTAAAAAATTTACAGGATTATTTGCAAAATAATATTAGACTTTTTATTCAGTTTAACAAGTTTTACATGTACACGAACGGATATGCACATTACATCAAACACCTTCTACAATTATTTTAAACTTGTATGATATATAACGTACAATAATGACATACCTTATAATGGTCCTCTGCTTTTTTCCATTGTTCTTCGCTCAGATCAAGCGTCCCGAAAGTTTGTCTTGCATAATGGATAAGTGCTGGATCATTCCGTGAAATCTTCGTAAGCATCGGATTCTTGGATTTAACATGCTGCCTCTTGGACGGAGAGGGTATTATAACGGCGGGTTGTCCGATTTGTCCCGGTATAGCTATACCAGGCTGAGAAAATACAGCACTTGGTCTAGTATTGGAAGATACATTTGTTTCTGCAACTAGAAGCTTAGTGTCGGCGTCACCCCAGCGACTACGTCTTCTCCTTTTACGTTCTTCTTTATTATCATCTCTCAGTTGATCTGTTACGTAAAAACGTACATATCAAATATAATTATGTAACTAATTGAATATAATCACTGCATATTTAAATTTCACTTACCAGGTATTGCATTGTGCTTCTGGGACTTATCTATGTCATCATTGTCACTGAGTGCTTCTTCAGGACAATAAAGCTCAGCACCGCTGTTCTTTTTATCCTTATCCGGTTTCTCGGAACGTAATTTCGAAACCAATCCCCTGTACTGGAGATACGCTGCACTTTGCTTTTGGTGCAGAAACCTTGATTAAAATAATACTTAAAACGCTGTCTAATATAACATGTACTCCTAGATATAATACTTTCATAGAAAAGATTTAATGTTAATATAAAAATAAAATAAAAAAATTAAATTGATAACCGTATGTAATGTATAAACGTTAAAAACTAGAAATAGTATAAAATTATAGAAGTACATATATTCTAAAAAATGTTATAATTCAAGAAACGTGCAATAAAGTTTTTATAGTATTGAAATGGTATAGATATTGTTTTATTCTTAACTAATTTTCGTAATAGAAGATTTCAAGTTATTCGAACATCATAGAATTTACGCAGATTTTTTTAATTAGCAGAAACAAGATAACATTTTTGGATAGTTCTAATATGAAAAAAAAACTTAAAAACATTTATACTGAATCGTAGAAATATGTATGACATATATGTTTGTATATGTGTGTGTAAACAGGGGTTTTGGATATAGGTATCCGATCACTCATGTGCAGGTAAAACTCATTAAACTGAATTGAAAAATTGTACATCACTTTGTATATTATCATAGTAATTATTGCAATATCAATAAAAAAATATCAGTTAATCAATGCGCGCGATGGGATGAGACGAGTTTTGTATGATAATCTAAAGTGACACGTTTTGAACAGGTTTTCTAGCAATAATTAATATAAGCATGTGGTCTCAGATTAACGCGTGTAACGTAGGACTGTGCTGTTCATTATGTTACTACGTCTTTCACTTTTATCTGATCTTCAACATTGCTAGGAAATAATAAAAAGGCCCTAGGCACGTCTCTTCAAATTCAAACAGAGCTTATCCTACCGTATCGCACGCACTTGTTCACCAATTTTCGAAAAAATGTATATATAAAGAATGTCTCAGAACAATCGTTGAAGCTCTCATGGAGGCATAGTACGGATTAAGATAAACATAAAAGTCTTATACCGTTTTGTAATATTTGTAATAATTATCGAGATATTAATTTTAAAAAATTTTTGAATGATTATGCGAAATATGGTAGATAAATTGTTTAACTAATGACTATGTCTGTCATGCTTATACATATGTTTATATATTAAATCAAACTAAACAAAAAAGTTCTCTACCATTTTCCTAATAATTTTATAGGTTTTTAATTATTAATTAAAGAAGATTGGCAGATGCTTGCAATAATATATTAATATTATCTAATTAATAACTTTAATTATTATCTTGATTATTATTGCAAATATCGCAAAACGGTACACATATTTTTATGTTCACCTCGATCTATTTTACGTTCCCACAAAAATTGCATAGGAAAATTTGGAATACCCTGTATAAATATATATATATACGCAAAAAATACAAAATCACATGTAAAGCTAGAGCACGTCAATATAAACACGAGGACTTTGGCATGTTGCAAACAACTACTTAAAATTCTGAGATATTAATGAAAAAAATTGACGAACAAGAGCGCGTACTGTTGTGTTACTAGGTTCTATAAACGCAAAATCTCATTAAAAAATGGCTGAAATGCAACTGTTTCTTACAAGTAGTTTTTCAAGTGTTCCACGCTGATTTCTTTCATCTTTTGGAATCTGATTCAAGAATCCAAAATGTGATAATTGATACTAAAAAATAGCTCAGTATTACTTAAAGCACTTATACAGTGTGTTTTCTTTTGAATGATATAAGAAAGTATGATAAAATATCTCGCGAACAATGCCTTTGCGAAGAAAATATTCTAAACAAAAGTTGCTTAGTTTCAAGGGATACATAAGATGATGACCCGGTAAACATCGACTTTAGGGGAGACAACTCCAATGACCTTGATCTTGATAATGTTGTCAAGGTCATCGTCCTGAGTAGCATGCAAAAGGTTTTAGTCATCGCTCGTTGTTTATTAAAAAATTATTGACAAAAGAAGATTGAAAAATATAGCAGATTATATAGTATATATTATAGTACTATATAAATAGTACATGTATATGCGCGGGGGAAGGGCTCTGCACTTCCTCCCCAAAAAACTAACCTTAACCTATTTATTGAAGTATAATAAACTATACACGTATATACGCAACGCAATCTTTACATTTTTATACGGTAATTATTCAGTTTAGGCCCCTTACTTCCGATTTCGATGAAAGTAGGCTCAATCAATGCGTTTTTGCACGAGAAACAACTTTTTTATTTGACAAAATCGTTGCTCTCTACTGCGAAGCGAGATATTAATTGGCAAAGTTAACGGTACATTAGGTTAGGAAATCTGTCACAACGACGATATGTCTGTTTCTAGTCGTGTGACTGGGGAGCTACATTCCTCAGACGACCCGCACCGCGGCGACGAGGGGGGGGGGGACGCAGTCTGTTGTGCTAAAGCTATAAATAAAAAGTTATAAAGAAAATAAATTTCGCAAATACGATATAGTTTGTTCACACTATACATATGAAATGTATATACCTTAGAAATGTTATAAAAAAAGATGTATTTTCTAAAAAGTGAGAATTTCTCACAAAAGACTATGATTCCCCCCCGCGGTGCGGGGGGTCTGGGGACTGTAGCCCCCCAGTCACACGGTTAGGAACAGGCACCTTTTTATTAATACGCGTATATATGTGTATTGTGTATATTTATATGTGCACATCACAGATGTCTATACTAAACTAGATTGCTAACATACCATCATTACATGTAACATGGCTTGTGTCCGATAGAGTTTCCAGTGTATGTGAGAAAATGGCCGCTACCGTCACATATTTTCACTACGTTTAGTCATAAAATTCTTTTGTTAAAAATGAGTAGAGCAAATAACATCCATACCATCTGTTTCTGTTGCGGCAATTTTTGATGCAACTCAGGAAGCAAATTGAGCGCAGACTGACATCAGATTGACATCAGATTCAAGCAGACCCTGTCGTCAGTTCCATAGTCATCTATCGAACCCATTGATTTCTAACCATACCTGGATAGTGCACGCCTTTGTTCTCGAGCGGTCAGAAAGAGATAGTTGAGTGGGGACGGTGTACCCTTGTCTAACCAACTTGAGGTACCACGTGACTCAATGTACCCACTCTAAAAACATTAACCTCCACACACATTTTCCATACATTGAAACAGTATATTTATATATAATATATAGAATATCTCACACTGTCCTCCGGGCATTTTGTAGGGACGTAGAACAGGTTGAGGTGAACATAAAAGTCCTGTACCGTTTTGCGATATTCGCAATAATTATCGAGATATTAATTGTAGAAAATTTGTAAATGATCATGCAGAATATGGTAAATGAGTTATAGTAGCAACGACTGTCGTCGTGTACTTATACTTTAGGTCAAATCGAACAAAAAAGTTCTCTACCATTTTCCAAATAATCACATAGATTTTTAATTATTAATTAAAGAAGATTATTGCACGATTTTGCGTGATAATGCACTCATCTTCTTTAATTAATAATTAAAAATCTATGTGATTATTTGCAAAATGGTAAAGGACTTTGTTCAATTTGACCTAAAGTATAAGTACACGACGGCAGTCGTCGCTATTATAACTCATTTACCATATCCTGCATGACCATTCACAAATTTTCTACAATTAATATCTCGATAATTATTGCGAATATCGCAAAACGGTACAGGACTTTTATGTTCACCTCAACCTGTTCTACGTCCCTACAAAATGC